AAAATTTAATAAGACCCCTTAGATTTGCTCCAGTAAGTCACTGAAGTGTTACATAAAACGAGTGATGCGGGGGGGGGGCGTCATTCGGTAGTAAGTATATTCTGAAAGTGGCTGAGAAGAGTCAGATGACCTTGACAGATACCGCTTTCGACTGATAGGGAATGCGTGTTACACATGATGGCAACAACTCAAGTCTCAGAACCATGACTTCTCTTTGATAGAGGACATACTTTTCGGCTGGGACTCGAGGGTGTGGGTCTGCTCCGACTTTGGTGGCTGTACAAGGCGCTGGGAGATGGCAGCCAGCTGAAACTGATGATTAAGTCTCCCCATTAGTGAAATGGGGGCAGACATCGAAGGAATTTCTAACAGGAACTTATTTAAGTTTAATCAGCTGCTGAACATCTCGTGTCTCTGACCCCATGAAAGGTGACCCGCCCTTCAGTGACAGCATATGGGAGAAGACATTACCACCTCATTTAAGTTACTGGTGACAGAGAGCTGGTAGATTGCCACCTGTAAATACGGAAAGCAGGACAGAGGAGGTAAAAGGAGGAACTGAAGGGCACGAGGCTGCCATTGCTGGTCTGTTTAATGCCAAGGTTTCCTAGAACGTCTCTGTAGTTGGTTTGAAGAATATGCTGCAATTACAGGTAGTTCTTTGAATCCCAACACTTCGAGTATTTTGCCTGTAGAAATGCTTACATTAACTGGCCAAGGTAACAGCAGTGTGTTATGTATAAAATTTTAATATTGCTGTTGTGTTTCAGTAGAAAAATAGTTTTCAGCGCAGTACTGAGTTCCAAGAATGTGACAATAAACAGGTTCTTGCTTGTACATGAATGCCACTGAACCTTCCTTTCATTTTTATTTATTTATTTCTTTTTCAGTTTGCGGCATGCTGGAGTTCCTCTTTGACATTGTCACAGTGGCAGACATGTTTCCAGTCAGAAAAGATGATATTCTTTGAGGTTTAACCTCAAGACAATCAATTAAAAAAGGGGATCGCTACCAAACAAATGCTCAGTGACTGCATGGTATCATGCTGAAATCGAGGAGGACAGAGACGGATCAGCCTATTGGATCTTCCCTGTGTCCTGGAATCCCACATAGAAAATGCGATGGCATCAGTGCTGGGAATCAATCACTTTTTCTAAATTTTATTAGCCAGGAATTGGTGGCATGGAGGCTGGGAATTTGAATCAGGAAGCGGGTTGTATAGTAAGATGTACGTAGGTTACACATACGGCTGCACAGTAAGAGGGTGTCCATTTTACTGTCATCATTACCGTACCCAGACACAGCATGTCAGTGTATTACATTTCACCAAAATTATATGTAAATTAGAGCTAGCCGAATGTTCGCAAGTTAGGAAAAGTACATCGACAGTATCATGTCACTTTTAGCAATGTATAATTCTTGTAATGGGTCATACCCATTAAATTAGGTTTTGACAGTTATGGTATGACAGCTTGCCATATGCAATATTTAGCTAATATTTAAAATTAAATATTATTAAAGGTAGACATAATCTGTAGCCCCAATTTACCATATATATCTACTTAATGATGTAAATTTTCATGACATCACTACATTTGGATGATAAAATTACCTTAAGTTATGCAGCAATATACCAGTTAATTAGTTATGTGCTTAATCTTAATGCAGCTTTTCTCCCCTTTTTGTTACATAAAAACACTTTTTAGCTAATGGTTTGTGTACACGTGTGGGCAATAGCTAGTGCTAACAACATCCACAAAACTCCTAATAGTCTTTTATAACAGGACTATCCCTGCTTGATCAGCCATGCTGAAGGACAATTCAACACGTTGCAAAGAGTTCTGAAAAGTAGTGTGGGATAATGGATATTTCTTGACAATATCCTGCAGACCCTTGTGGTTTCTTCTTATTGCTTTCCAAAACAAATAGCATTAAGCCTTTGAGCACAGAGGAGAAGGTCCTCTGTGTTTCATTAAAAGGCCTGTCATTTACTTTGAGCTGTTACACATTTGTGAACCGGCGAGGTACATCTGACAGACTCGCACAAGGGACGGATTTCCGACGCATTCACTGTTTACTCTTATTTAGAGCACTGTCAGGCGTAAAGTGTTATTTACATGACAGCGCTGAAAACGTACTGTTTACACTGGGTGTCTGATGTAAATGTGTGTCATACGAAGGTGCTGACTCGTTGTAAGGACAGCAACCCAGAAATGCAGCAAAGACGAAATCAACTTATGCTCATGAGTATGAATAACGTAAAAAAATTATAAAGTTGTCAACCAAAAAAGTCACAAAATATCGCCACAGATCTGTGTGGTTTTAGGATTAACGAACCACCAGCATGTAGCCTGCATCTGACTAGGTGTGCAGGTAGTAATACACAGTTTTGCAGTTACATCCTATTGAAATTCATTAATGCTGAAATGTTAGTATTACCTAATGAGCTTTCAGAAATCATCAGAATTCACTGAGCTTTGGATCTGATACTTTATGTGTTGTATCCCTGTCCTCTTACACATTTACACTGACACACAGGGAACTCAGGTGTGTTGTTAAAAGCCTCATTGCCGCCATTTAGCAAAACTGGAGAAACACACAGCTGTTCCCCCAGGGTGAATGATGTGGGTTTGTCCCTCACGCATCACCTGTGAACCATGTTTGACTGGAGCGTGAAAAAAGGATTAGTGTTCTGATACATCGCGCAGGATAGTCGTTTATAACAGCAGCGGTGATTAAATTCTGGTAGCGTTTTTGTTTCCCTACATGAGAACCTTTTCATTAATTATTTATGTTGGTAGTCAGGGTGTCATTATTTTGGGTAGTTAATTATTTATGGTTGCCCAAGACTGCCTGTTGGTAACGAAGTTATGTCCTGCAGCAGTGCAAAGTTGTGAAATGTTTGTTCACAGGCGAAGCCATTTCTGTCTGTCATAATAGTTGAATTAATTAATGTTTGCAAGATGGGGGGGAGGTGGGCTACACTTTTAAAGTGACAGGATGTGTCTGGTTCCCACAGTGCTTGCTAAGTAGTTTGCCCAAAATATAGAAGGACAAGAGTGACAGGTCAGTGTAGAATTACAGACACTGCAAGTCCTAAATACTTGCATCGTGAAATCCAGAAGTGAATAGCAAAACGGCGAGTGCTAGACACTGACAGCGCTGACTTAAAAATAAATCTGCACGCTCACCACTTAATGTTAGTAACAGAATCTGATGTAAATACCATATGGACAGGCAGCGGCCTTTCAAAAGCCGATAGCCAAACAGAAAAAAACGATCCCAAATTTTACAGTGAGGAAATATTCATAATTACTCTCTCATTTATACATAAATCAAAGAACTGCGTTTGGTGTTTTTAGTGAAACTCAATCCCCCTGCTTTAGTTGAAATCTCAAAGCTGGTAAAAAAAATAATAAAGTACAGTGGTACCTCAAAACTCGAATTTAATCCGTTCAGAACTCTGGATCGAATCCTAAAAAGTTCGAGTTGTGATCGAATTTTCCGCATAAGAAATAATGGAAAACCAATTAATTGGTTCTCGGCCCAAAAAAATTACATCTAAATATGTAAAATAACCCGGATAAAACAAGACGAGCATATACTGTACTAAGGACATCTAAGCACATTTATCAAAACAGTAATTTGTAAAGTAAGAAAATAAATGTACCCAAACAATGTGTCCTGCCCCGATAGTCCGCTCCTTCTGTGTGCCACGCCCCCTCGTTACCCCCGTGTGGAATCCCCGTGTGATCAGCTGTTTCTGTTTGTTGTCATTAGTCTTCTGTATTCTCGTTTCAGTTTGTTTCCCCGGTGTTCTGAGGAGTTGAGCTACCTATCGAGTCCTGCTATCGAGCCTTTCTGCATATGTGCCGTTCCACCATCTTGGGATTTGAATTATGTTTTACGGGTTAGGGTTAGGGTTAAGGTAAGGGTTTTAGGGGTTTTGGATGGGTTACGGTTAGGGTTTGGGTAAAAGTTAGGGTTAGGGCTATCGATTAGCACTACGGTAGCCTAACTCGACAAAGTAGCTCAACTCAACAGAACACCCGGTCATTGTATTGTCCGTCTGCGTTTTGCCTGCCGTACCTGTAATTAAACCCCGTTTTCCCCAATACCCTAACATCTGCGTCTTTGTCTCCGTTCCGTCCGCTCGGCACAACAAATTTATTATAATTAAACGTATTAATGGTTTATTATTAATATTAAAATTAATAAGAAATCTTTATTTTTAAATGTATTTTATTATATAATAATAATTACTGTTACTGTCTATCATTGTCTAAATGTATTTTTACAGTCTAAACATATGTATTCAGCTAGTGTAAACATACACGATGTTATCACAGCGAATGCGAAGCTGAGACTGAAACGTTACCCTTTGTTTCCGCTGAGAGACGTGCCGCGTGACTCATTTCCCCGCGTGTACAAGTTATCTTAGGTCGGCGTTCACGGTTTGACTTCTGAGATTCAGATCAAGTTCTAGGTGATTTTTTTTCGAACTGGTTGGTTCGACTTTTAAGAAATTCGAGTTCTAATTAGAGGTACAACTGTACTTTGCAAACTTTAAAAAAATGTTTATTTCTATATTAAGTGAGATTGTATATAAGTAAAAATGAAAGCTAATCTTAAAACAGTGGTTAGGATTAACTCCTGGTTATTATCTTTAACATGGTCTGTTTTAATGAAATAAGTGGTGCAAAGCTTTTTAAAAACACCAATTGAATTTGTATTTAGCTTATAATATAATGAAATCCATATTTATATATAATGATAAATTAATGTACTACCTCTAATATGTCTTTAATATATTTATAATAAATGATATCATCTTTTAATATACAAATACGATATGTGCATAGCATTCTTCAGGTTCCAAAATCAATTTATCGAAAAATAATGCCATGATATTGGTGTTATCTTTGCCTTTGGAGTTACCTCTCCCTCTGACAGCTTTTTTCTGTTTTCTTTTTGTTTGCCTATGAATCATTTCAATGCAGAATTCTTCCTGGAGCTCCTGGAGAACACAGAGAAGTCGCTGAACGACATGTTTGTACGGACCTACGGCAAGCTGTACATGCAGAATTCTGAGGTCTTCCAGGACCTCTTCACGGAGCTGAAGCGCTACTACACCGGTGGCAACGTCAACCTGGAGGAGATGCTGAACGACTTCTGGTCCCGGCTCCTAGAACGCATGTTCCAACTGCTCAACTCCCAGTTTCAGTTTAGCGATGACTACCTGGAGTGCATCAGCAAATACACGGACCAGCTGAAACCCTTCGGGGACGTGCCCCGGAAGCTGAAGGCCCAAGTGACGCGTGCGTTTATTGCGGCGCGTACCTTCGTCCAGGGCCTCATGGTTGGCCGGGAGGTGGCCAATAGAGTCTCTAAGGTAAGATTATGACAGAAAGATCTCACTTCTGCTCTGGTACTTCCTTCACATGTCAAAATCTGATGTGACCTTATATGCAGAATCGAATCGCTGCGCTTGGGATGAACAGCCTTATGCTAGGCCAAGTGCTAATGATAGTCTGTCTTTCTTCTGCATGAAGATTAACTTAATGCCTTTGAAGTCTTTTGGAGCACATCTGCTATACAATATTAATTTGCCATCTGACTCATGAGGTGTCTATGGTTTTCTTTTTAGGAGTCCCTGAGCTAATGAAAGTGTTTTCTTTTTTTTCCCCCAACTCTGGCTTTCTTTACGATTTCTAAGCCCGTATCGATAATAATTTGAAATTCATTCCATGCACTGAGTACCATGTTCAGAGTATAGCTCTGTTTCATTGGCTGGGAACAGTACTGTGCATTAATTAAAAATGCTAACAAGGATTTAGCTGTACTAAGTAATAAAACTGATAAATAAATATAGTGACAATGTTCTGGCTTATTATCAAAAACAATAAAAATAGCTTATACCTGAAAGATTTAAGTAGCATTTTGCTCGTAAATAGGTAGCTTTCAGATTGCTGTATAAGAAATTACTGTATTAATATCTGACATCGCTTTAATTGATGCACAATTGAGATGTGAATACTCAAACTAACATCATTTGAATCACTTGCCTGCTTTACATTTGCCTTTGAGGTATGTGTGCAGGTACGCTTGTGGTTTCAGAGCCCTTTCACTCCTGAACCTCCACTCTATTTCCCCAGTGTATTTTTAGTGGGGAAGAAGAATCCCTTTGATTAATCTAATCGGGAAACAATTGCTCAGTGCGTGTTTTACATTTATCACCGAGCCCATTAACCGAGACGTAAGTGAATGTGTACTGCCAGCCAAACACGGCGTCTCCGTTAGTATTCTACCGCAACACATCAACCCATGTTGACTATTAGTAGCAATAAAGCTAATTTCCTTGCAGATGTGTCTGGTTCTGAATACAGGAATGGCTGCAGTATTGAGACCTCAGCCTTGTGTGATTTCTGTCCCCCTGTGCTGATACTTATGTCAGGGAAGACAGGCGTAGATGTCGGAGCGCTGTGGGCCATTTGTTCTGCTGCTTGTCTTCATATCTGCAGCACGTCGAAGACAAAAGCCTGCAACGTCTAACCCACAAACGAGGAGGAAATTAATGGCCCACGAGCGTCATTTTTGTGATGCTTGTTGTCAGTGTCTCCATGGTCTGTCTGGGCAATTAATGTGCCAATCCCCGACTGCCTTTGTAACACTCCATGCGTCATTTAAAATTTCGGAGCTCTCTCTGAAATGTCTCGCTATTTCAGAGGTCTTCAAGGTCTTTGCATATAAAATGAAGGATGTGTGTGTCTCCGCTTATAAGTTGCATGTGCCTCTGAGAGTACCCGGTACAAACTGCCAGCCGACATGACAGTAAGGAACGGCCTTTTGATGCATTTTCCTGTGCCATTTTTCTCCGGGGAGATCAGAGTCGGCACAGCGAGGACGTTTCAGAATTATGTGCTTTTCATAGTGAATGTATTGATCAAAGACAAACGTTCATCTGGAGCCAAACGAAAAGCTTTTTAATCATATTGTTTTCATTCTCTGCCCGCAGCAAAATCTCGACCTTTTTTTTCCATTTGTTGAAAGTTGGTAGTGACAGCGATGGTTCTTGCTTATCTCGGAGTATAGGGGCAGGCCTAGGGGCACCTGAGGGTGGATTACGATAAATTACCCCCTTCGGGATAAACAAAAACCTTTTGGAGTCATACTGAATTTCCTCCACTGCCTAGAAAAGCCACATGTCAACGCAACTTTCAGACTCAGGTGTCATCTCACATTTTTACAGGTCATTTAGGAAAATTATTTACATGACTTTTTTTTTAAGGAATTGTTGCGTTGTCTTAATGACTGTCAACTCAAGATAGCATGAATGTACATTTCCAGAACAACAATGAAGAATATTGGACATTTTTACATGTTCAAGCCTCAGAATAAATCCATAGAGAAAACACTCGCCTTCACCCGGGCAGAAAAGTTGTTTTTCAGCACGGTAAATATTTTTAAATATACAAAACCTCCCCTCTGTTTATCTGGCATGTGATGCCAACGTACCAGATGTCGATGCAAGCCTCAACATAAATTGTCACATATTTCAACTTAACTGTCTTGAGCCATTAAAAAAGATTTTTTTGAAATTCATTTCAAACTTTTTAGACTATAAAAGTAGTTTTAGTATATAATAAAATGGTATTTAAAATTTTATTTATAGTATGTCTTGCCTGTTGTTGTTAAGTCAATGGAGCAGTGATTGTATATCTTAGAAAATGCAGATAGGTATCCAAAATAAATCAGCTGTTATGTTATATGTGGCGGCTCCTCCATCTGCCACAGCTGAGCAATGTCCACCAAATGTGTTCTGCTGGTGGTACAAATGTCCCCATACAGCTACCAAGCTGAATTAATCCGCTCTCACCTTGAACCTTCTTGAATCTCAAAGCTCCATGTCACAGCCTTCATTTGCTTGTCTTTTGTGTAGCTTACGCCTTATACTATATTTGCTAATTAGAGTTCTTAAAAATAAAATCTGTTGAGCCAGTTTGCAAGCACTGAAATTATCTTTTTTCAATGCAGTTGATATGAAATTCGGGTGAAATACCAAGCATCCCACAATATAGAAAATCTGTATTATATGCAAAATTGTTTCTTGCATATCTCGATTGTTTCTCCTCTTTGCTTAATTGTTATTACTGTTATTTACAATATAATCCCTGTCTTTTTATAGTAAATATATAGCTGTAGGATGACATGATTAATGCATTAGATAGCACCATGCCTGCTTTGTTCGGCAGTTCTACCCCACTGCGCTTCCCAAGCTGCCTGTGTGGAGTCTGCATGTTCTCCGCATGTTCATGTGCTCAGGTCTCCTCTGGGAGTCCCAAAACACACCCACTTCGGTGAGTTTATGTCTATAAATTGCCCATAGTGTGTGGCATGTGCCTTGCCAATGGGCGTCCAGGAAGGAGTGACAGGCTCACCTAGATCCTGTATTGGTGAGTGGCTCAGCCGTGAAACAAGCATATATGGGTGGCTGTATATCTGTCAGTTTCTTGTCTTGGTTTTTTTATTATTTGAGATTGCAGTTGTCACTGGAGGCAGCACGGTGGTGCAGTGGGCACTGGGCACTGGGCACTGGGGCCAGGGTTTGAGTTTCTGCCAGGGTTCCATGTGTGCGGAGTCTGCATGTTCTCCCCATGGTTGCCCCCCACAGTCCAAAAATCATGCTGAGGCTAATTGGAGTTACATGTGCATGTTGCATGTGTGTGTGACTGGTGTGTGAGTGTGCCCTGTGATGGGTTGGTCCCTGCCCATAGGCTCTGGACCCCCCACAACCCTGAATGGGACAAGCGGTTACGAAAAATAAACAGATGGGAACAATTGTCTTTGACCTTAAAAAAGTGTCGCGTTTTTGATTTGGTGGATATTGCCAAGGACACTAATGTAAATGTGGGAAGGTGAAAGTCTAAAAATGTGTACATTTTGGTTGTGTCACCAATATTATTTCTTTGATGGATGGATTTTTAAAATTGCGCACAATATTCAGTTTTTAAGCTGCTAATTTGTCTCATGCAGTGAGGTTATTTGTGTCTTTAGGTGAGAAGGAATATGTTGTTTTGGTTAGTAGGCTTGTGTTCACAGTTACCGTATGCCAAGCCGTATTGTGATCTCTTCCATGCCTTTTATTAATAACCTGCATGTTTTACTGTGTTTTCAGAGGACACAAAATCCAGTCATTACAGTATAATTATATTATTATTAAAGACCAATCACCATCATCACACTGTTAAGATGCTAATGATGGTCCATAGGTTGACCAATACACGTCCAGACAATGTATCGATGAGACTTTAAGCATCTTATAATGCAACAAACTAATTATATTGATTGCAGTTTTATTTTGCATTTGCACAGAAATATCTCATTATGTTGAAATGGCTGTGAAGTGTAGGGTCTTTTGTACATACGGCACGATATCATTTTTTATATCCTGATCTCGATATTGATATTAAAATTTTGAGTATCTGCCGATACCAATCCATTATTTTCCCCCTTTATCAGCTACTAAGCATTAAATGAGACATCTGTATCAGTACATTTTGATTAACCATGCACACTGTCTGCATTTAGTACTGTAGTGGCATTGTTTGCGTATACTAGCATAAGAACAGGAAAATATAAAGGTGATGTTACTCAAACAAATTCCACAGCCAACATGATTTACACAGGTCTGCTTCTTTGTTTTAATCAGTAACAACTTTCATAAAAATGAAGTGCAAATTGTGCAATCTGTTGCCAAATTAAGTATAACAAAGAAATCAATCATAAAAATAACACTGTATACCCAATTAACCATTTCTAGTGAAATAGTAGACTTAAGTCTAGTACAAAATAGCATGGATACAGCATTTAAGTAGTAATCAACCAGACTTTTGAAGGAATATAAGTCTGAAGACATCTAGTTTGTATAAGTTTCCCTGTGTTCATACTTAAGAAAAATCTGCATTAGCCTTGCATTCACGCACTCTGCAGTTTGGCTCTTGTCTTCCTTCAAGGTAAAGTACAGTAACGGTAGCGTGACAACTCCGACGCATGTGTCCTGCTAAACAACGACTGTCACGTGACTCACTTCTGTTCACCGCGGTAAGGCTACGAGCATTTTCACAATTTTTCAGGTTAGATTTATCTCTGGTTAAAATTTGGATCGGTTTCTTACCCCGCCTATACCCGATCAAGCGTTTTTCTCCGGTACCGGCAGAAATTCATTCTGGTGTAAAAAAGGACACTTCCTGGTAGAGGTGATGTTGAAGACCTGTCGTAAGGGCGGAGGTTTTGGGACTTGTGGCTCATAATCTGTAAGAATTTATATTAGGCATCTGTTCTCTCGCTTTTTGGGGGGGGAGTTGAAAACAGACTCTAGTGTCTTTCAAGTGA